AAGCCACCAGGTCCAGGACTTGAACCGCAGTTGATTACAGAGGAGTCCAGCAACATAACCATTACACACAGAGAGACAGAGAGACCAAAAAAGCGAGAAATCACCACCCTCCCCTGGGGGAGGATTGCCACACCGTCATCACTTCTCCTTAATTCTCCTCTTGGGATCATAGGCACACACACGTTCCCAGCATGAATTTTAAGCCACCAGGTCCAGGACTTGAACCGCAGTTGATTACAGAGGAGTCCAGCAACATAACCATTACACCATCTACTGGTCCCAGTTTGCTCTTACTTTATAAAGACTACATGGAGTCCAGTTTTTCATCATTTTTAAAAGTGATGAAATGAACATTATTGTTTATTCTCTTCTGTTTCTCAGAGTAGAGACTAAGCAATGGAATTTCTAAGTCATGAAATATGTACTTTAAAATTTTCAAAACAAATTAACGAAAAATTGCTCTACAGAGGTCTTGACCCTTGAAGTATGAATAATTGTTACTTTCTCTCATTGAGTGTTTTGTATTTTCATGTTTCTTAGATTTTTTTCAGTTTGATAGGTAAAAATAGTATATTATTGTAACAATGTGATTTCCATGATAACTAGAGAGATTATAGTTTTTATGTTTATTAGGACTTTGAAGTTTTCTATTTTGTGGCATGATGTTATGTATTTTCTGATTCTCAGTTCAATGAGTATTTGATATATTTATTGATAATTTGTGGTAGTTCTTTGTGTCTTCTGTTTTTACACATTGTAATATTTGTTGGGATAATAATCCCAATCTACATGTCTTAATTTTTCTAAACGCGTAAACTAGTATATATCTATTTAAACTTACAGTAGAAATTTATGAACTTTTTTCATTTTAAAAAATGTTTGTTTTGGGGCCAGTATGTGGCATGGTTGTTAAAACACTGGACTCACACATGGCCAACAGTGGTTCAAGTCCCAGGCTTGGCAGAATGAAAATGATGCCTGATGTGTGTGAGTGTATGCCCAAAATCCCAAGAGGAGAATGGAAGAGGAGGGACTGTAGTGTGGCCATCCTCCTAGGGCTTGATTTCTCACTTTCCCTCTCATTGTCTCTCTCTGGTAAGCTCATGTACCCTATGGTAGAAACCTGAAAAAAAAGAGTTTATATTATTTCTCCCATGAGAGACAGTGAGAAGAGGAGAGAGAGAGACAGACACTCCAGTAGGGTTCATGTACCATGATCTATTCCCAGTCTTGGATCTTTGGAACACAGACATGGACATTGCACATACAGGAAAGCTTCCATCCACAAACTTGGAACCTTTCTAGGGGGATCCAACATTGTAGAATGTTGTGTTACTGCTGCATCATTATATTTTCTTGATATATAAAATGTTTTTCCCCCTCATTTTTTATTTTATTTCCTTCATTTTAAAATGATTTTTAGGGACCAGCAGATGGCATAATGGCTATGTTGCTGGACTCCCAAGTAGTTGACCATGGTTTGAGTCCTGGACCCAGTGGCTTAAACTCACGCAGGGTGCGAGTGTGTGCATGCCCAAGATCCTGAGAGGAGAATGGAGAGGGGATGACAGTGTAGCCATCCCTCCAGGGGGTGATTTCTCACTTTTTATCTCCCCCTCTCTCTCTGTCTTTCTGGCAAGTGCATGCACCCTATAGCAAAAACCTCTCCCCCCCAAAAAGGACATTTTTATAACAAAATAATAATGCTATTCTTTACTATCTCTTTATGTTTTTATACACACACACACACACATACATATATATATATATTCATATATATATATGAAATTTAAATTTACCAAAGAATGTATGAGCTTGCTGGAGAGAAATAGAGAGGGAAAGTGAGAAAGCACATCTTACCCCCTCCCCCCCTCCACCTATGGGACTGTTTGCTCACAATTCTTTTTCCTCCATTTCTCCCTCCTTTTCAAATTTTAGACATGCATGCACAAGCACCTGGTGTGTTTTTCAAGCTGCTGAGTCTGAGACCTGAGCTGCAGTCAGCTGTGTGGGATCCAGCCTCCCTAATCACCATGCCACCAGTTGCCTCTTGTGATATACTACAATTAAGATCTTTAAGTTTAAATGATGTGAGGTAGAATTTTCATAACATTGATTTTCAAATTCATCAAAATACTGCAGAGCATTTTAATGATTAATTCATTTTTATTTTCCAAATGTTCAGTGAACATTTTCCTACTAAATTGACATATCTGCATAGATCTGCATATGGTTTTTCTCATTTTTTTTCTAATATCTCCATCTACTCTAGGAACAACACCTTTCTATCTTCATTAGGGTAGATTTATAATCTGTGTTGATATCTCAAATAGCACACTCCCTCTCCTTACTTTTCTTTTTCAAAGTTGCTTTTGCTATTTTTAAATATCTTTCTCTTCTAATAAAATTTAAAACCAGTGTTTTATTAAAATTTATGTTTAGATTTTGTAGAAGCTTCATTAAATTTGGCAAATAATTTGGAGAGTGGCGTAGAGCAATCAGCCTAAATAAATCAGGAACGAGCCTGTTCTTTGACCAAATCAGCTTTGTTGTTATGTCACAATGAGGAGACTGCAGACCCTAGGGACGAGCATGTTTCACTGAACAAAGGAACCAGCGTCATTCACAGTCATTGAGAAAAGTTGACTTTAGGTGAAATTTATACCAAGCAAAACTTTGAGAGGCTCAAAGCAAAGCAAGGTTGTATATGAAAGAGTCAATATCAGGTCTAAACAACAAAGCAGACATAGGGTCTTGTTTCCTTGGAAACTATAAAGTTAAGATAGATGCTGAATATTGCCTCTAGAGCTCCTTTATCTGAAGCTCTGTACAGTGTTGGAAATTAAGACTGCTTTGCCGTGTCTGAGTGATTCTTTTTTTACAGGAGGATATACATTTTTATACTTGATTTTTTTTAAGTATTATTTCATTTTAATCATTATCATCATTTTTTCCCCTTTGATTTGAACAGAGAGAGAGAGAGAGAGAGAGAGAGAGAGAGAGAGAGGGAAAGTGAGACAGCAAGCTGCCAGGTCTGGGACTTGAACCATGGTTAGTCACGTGGGAGTCCAGCACTTTAACCACCATACCACCTGCTAGCCCTGAATTTTTAATTTTAATTTGCTATAGGGCATATGAGCTTGCCAGAAAAATAGAGAAAAAGAGAGAAAAAGTGGGAAACGATCCCCAAAGGGGGATGACCATACTGCAATTCCTTCTCCACTATTCTCCCCTTGGGATTTTAGCATTGTATATACATGTGTGAGGTGTGTTTTTTCAAGTCACAGGGTCTGTGACTTGAACTATGTAGTTAACCAAGTAAGATCGAACCACCAACCCCCACACCATTTGGCTGGTCCTACACTTGAATATTTTAAATTAACATATAATTTGTTATTGTACATGCTTAAGGGGTACAACCATTTTTGAGTACAAAAATAGAATGCAATGATTAAATTAGAGTAATTAGTATACCATCATATCAATAATTTGCTTTTACTTGTTCTCCCTTACACATGGAAATTGAAAACAACTGGAAAATACTTTTTGGGACCAGCAGTTAGCTGGTAATGGCTATGTCGCTGGACTCCCATGTAGTCGACTGCGGTTCGTGTCCCGGATCCAGTGGCTTAAAACTCATGTCGGGCGCGTGTGTGTGCGTGCCCAAGATCTTAAGAGGAGAATGTAGGAGAAGAGATTGTGGCGTGGCCATCCCCCCTGGGGGGTGATTTCTCGTTTTCTGTCTCTCTGTCTCTGTCTGTCTGCCGAGCGCATGCACCCTATAGCAAAAACCTCTAATATATATATATATATATATATACTTTTCAATGCATTTAGTAATTTTTCCCTTTGTTTCAGTAAAGTTCTATAATTTATAGTTTTCTTACAAATCTTAATGATTTCTTGTTAGGCTTATTTATGGTTACTTTATTAATGTAAGTCAATGAATTTTTTCCCCATTATAATTTATATTTGATTGTATTTTATTTATCATATTGATCATCTGTTCTATTTCCTTGTCGAATTAATTTTTTTTTCCAAAATTTATCTTGTCAGTTGATTTTCCTGTTTTCTATGAAAATGACTTTTAGAAAATTATTTATTTAATTTAATTTATTGTTATAATAAAATTTGCTATAGGGCATGTGAGGTCACCAGAGAGAAACAAAGAGAGAGGGAGAAAATAAGAAATGAAGCCACCAGGTCTACCATGTGAGAGTTTAGCACCTTAACCTCATGCCACCTGCTGGCCCCTATAGATGATTTTTTTTTTTTTTTTTGGTGACATAATTTTTATACAGTTTATAATTATAATGTTTATGTTTTTAATGTTTTTACAACTATGCATATATATTTTCTGGAGGATCCTAGTATATTAAAAGTACTTTTTATTTCTAGTTTGTAAAGATTGAGTTTTTAGAGCTGCATGTTATCAAATTCTTTAAAAATGTTTGAGATAGATAGAATTTGCTAACATGCAGCTCTAAAAACTAAATATGCAATAATATTTTCCCTTTGATCTATAAAGACAGTGAATAATTGTTTTTTTTAAATGTTGAACCATTTCTTTTTCTATTCTTTTAAAGAATTATTTTATTTAACTTTATTTATTTATTACATATTTATTTTAATTTGACCAGAGAGGGATAGAGAAAGAGAGAGAAAATGAAAAAGTGAGAAAGCAAGACACCAGGTCTGGGACTCAAACCATGGTCGGCCATGTGGGAGCCCAGCGCCCTTAACCACCATGCCACCTGCTGACCCAACTATTTCTTAATCAAGCCACAATCTTCTCTTTGAGACACTTAGCTATTTTACTCTTAAAAAGTGTGATATATTTTACTTGTTAAAATTTAGGTATTTGACAAAAATCAAAATTCATAAGCAATTTCAACCTGTAATTTATTTTCCTGCGCATTATGCTATGATTTTAAGAAGTTTAAAATTAAATATCTGGTGAATTCTCTATTTTTTCTCATTCTAGAGATGAAAATCAACCAATGGCTGATGGAAACTACACAAGGATCACAGAATTCATTTTCGTAGGCTTAAAGTATGATCCTCGGCTGCAGGTCTTCCTTTTCTTACTCTTCCTGCTTTTTTACCTCATTACCATGACAGGGAACGTGGGCATGATTATTCTCATCCAGCTGGACTCCCGCCTTCACACACCCATGTACTATTTTCTCAGCCACCTGTCTTTTGTGGATGTCTGCTTTTCATCGGTGGTGGGTCCCAAGATGCTCAGTGACTTTTTTGCTGAAAGGAAAGCCATTTCTTTCCTGGGATGTGCCCTGCAGCAGTGGTTCTTTGGTTTCTTTGTGGCCATTGAGTGCCTTCTCCTGGCGTCCATGGCCTACGACCGCTACGTGGCCATCTGTAACCCACTGTTGTATTCAGTCGCCATGTCCCAGAGGCTCTGCATACAGCTGGTGGCTGCACCATACGCGGTTGGTTTCCTAAACACCATGACTCACACAACGGCTGCTTTTCGACTTCCCTTTTGTCGCTCCAACATTATCAATCATTTCTTCTGTGACATGTCTCCCCTTCTTTCTCTCGTGTGTGCTGACACCCGGATCAATAAGTTGCTAGTTTTCATTGTGGCTGGAGCTGTACTCGTTGTGAGCAGCCTGACCATCGTCATCTCTTATTTTTACATCCTAACTGCCATCCTGAGGATCCGCTCCGCTGACGGGCGGCGTAAAGCCTTTTCTACCTGCTCGTCGCACCTCACGGCTGTCTCCATCTTGTATGGGACTCTCTTCTTTATCTATGTGCGGCCAGGGGCAATTTTTTCTCTGGACCTCAATAAAGTGGTGTCCGTGTTCTACACAGCAGTGATCCCCATGTTGAATCCTCTCATCTACAGCTTGAGAAATAAAGAAGTCAAAGCTGCTATGGGTAGGATAGTCACAAAGATGAAGTTTTTCATCATAAATTAAATTCCCATCAAGACCAGAGAATATATGAAAGGGAAAGCTTCCAGTCATAATTAGACTACCTGGTCATCATCCCAATATGCTAAACAATTTGCAGAATTTGGGGATGGTATCTTTCTATCTTTCATACAACTTTTCAAAGTTTATTTATTTATGCCCCCTATCAGTGAGCAGGGGGTGGATTCTGCAACAGGGTCTTCACATGGCAATCCATCCCCAGTCTCCACCAGCTTAGATCACCAGCATGCATTCCTGGTATGCTGAGGGAGGTCCCAGGACATGATCCCAGAAGGTTTCCCATGTAGGCGTAGTTGGCTTATCACTGCACCAACATCCAGCCTCTCCATCTGACTTTTACTACCTACTTTTTTTTTTTTTTTAATGAAAGATTTTTGCTATATATCATGCTTGCTGGAGAGACAGAGAAAAAGAGAGAGAGAGAGAAAGAAAGCAAAAAAATCACCCTCCAAGTGGGGTGGCCATGCTGCAATCCTTTCTCCTCCATTCTCCTCTTGAGAATTTTGGGCATGCGTGCACACATGCCCAGCATGAGTTTTAAGCCACCTGGTCCAGGACTCAAACAGTGGTTGATTATGTGGAAGTCCAACAATGTAACCAATATGCCATCTGCTGGTTCCACCTACTTTGTTTTAAAGCTCCATTTCATGATAACCCTTAAATATAAAAATTCCTTGTTGTCAAGAGAGTTAGAACAATTGTTTTTCCCAAATATCTTGGTTACTTGGAGCATAATAAAATCTAGTAAGTGTTAGGGCCACTTGGTTATCAACACTGGCACATTCATTGAAATAATGTAAATATATAGACCAGATGTGACTTAGTGGAACAACATGCATATTTCCCACCCCGTATACAGAATTGAAAATATTTATCAAACAAGGCAAGTTACTTAACTTATAAATGATTTGTCTTAACTAAATCAATTCCCTATATTATTCATTTATTTTATACTTTTTATTCTTGTCTTCTAAAAATGTCATGACTATTGTAAAAAAGAAGAAAACATGAATAAGTAAAAGAATAATACAGATAAAAGCCCTATAATCTTACTTTTTCACTCAGAAACATATCTAATTAATATTTCTGGATACCTCCCTTTTATTCTTAAATTATTCCAACTCTTACTTTATTCTTTAAAATTTATTTCTCCTAGTTATTTTAGATAATAACTAAAAGGGATAAGTTACTATAGAAGTTAAAAGTAAAGTACAGGGAATCAGCAGTTAGCGTAATGGCTATGTCGCTGGACTCCCATGTAGTTGACCGCGGTTCAAGTCCTGGACCTGGTGGCTTAAACTCACGCTAATGAAAGATTTTTGCTATATATCATGCTTGCTGGAGAGACAGAGAAAAAGAGAGAGAGAGAGAAAGAAAGCAAAAAAATCACCCTCCAAGTGGGGTGGCCATGCTGCAATCCTTTCTCCTCCATTCTCCTCTTGAGAATTTTGGGCATGCGTGCACACATGCCCAGCATGAGTTTTAAGCCACCTGGTCCAGGACTCAAACAGTGGTTGATTATGTGGAAGTCCAACAATGTAACCAATATGCCATCTGCTGGTTCCACCTACTTTGTTTTAAAGCTCCATTTCATGATAACCCTTAAATATAAAAATTCCTTGTTGTCAAGAGAGTTAGAACAATTGTTTTTCCCAAATATCTTGGTTACTTGGAGCATAATAAAATCTAGTAAGTGTTAGGGCCACTTGGTTATCAACACTGGCACATTCATTGAAATAATGTAAATATATAGACCAGATGTGACTTAGTGGAACAACATGCATATTTCCCACCCCGTATACAGAATTGAAAATATTTATCAAACAAGGCAAGTTACTTAACTTATAAATGATTTGTCTTAACTAAATCAATTCCCTATATTATTCATTTATTTTATACTTTTTATTCTTGTCTTCTAAAAATGTCATGACTATTGTAAAAAAGAAGAAAACATGAATAAGTAAAAGAATAATACAGATAAAAGCCCTATAATCTTACTTTTTCACTCAGAAACATATCTAATTAATATTTCTGGATACCTCCCTTTTATTCTTAAATTATTCCAACTCTTACTTTATTCTTTAAAATTTATTTCTCCTAGTTATTTTAGATAATAACTAAAAGGGATAAGTTACTATAGAAGTTAAAAGTAAAGTACAGGGAATCAGCAGTTAGCGTAATGGCTATGTCGCTGGACTCCCATGTAGTTGACCGCGGTTCAAGTCCTGGACCTGGTGGCTTAAACTCACGCTGGGCACGTGTGTGCGCGTGCCCAAGATCCCAAGAGGAGAATGGAGGAGAAGGGATTGCAGCATGGCCATCCCCCCTGGGGGGTGATTTCTCACTTTCTATCTCTCTATCTCTCTCTGTCTGGCGAACACATGCGCCCTATTGCAAAAACCTTTCAAAAAAAAAAGTAAAGTACAAAAATGTGAATGGGAAAATTGGAAAATTTTTAAAATTCAGAGGCCATGGTATTGGGCAGTCAGAAATAAACTAAAGTACAGAAAACTTACAGCCTGTTTTCATGTTAGTCTTTTTTATTTCCATTATTTTAAAAGAACATAATCATCTAATTTTGAAAATCTGCTCCCTTGAAAATATTTTGAACAATTCAAGAAAAATTATAATTATTATCAGGATAGGTAAAATGATGGATGTGTGAAAAGTGTCCCTTTGGTATGAATTGAGGCATTTTAACCTTGGTAGGTGGGCGTGATCTAAAAAATATAAAATTTGTCTCTTGATCATAGAATAATCTACATCTGGGTAGAAGAGAAAAAAAAAAGAATCAAGGTAAAACACATCTGAGTACTGACATAAGGAAAAACTAGGGCATAGATTTAGTTCAAGTGTTTGCCCCAATAGATTTCATGATGAGGTTCCTGGAGAAGCAAATGTTTTCTTACTGATGGAATAACTGCTAAAATTCTTTCTTTCCACTCCAGGCATAGTAGAACCTGCTTTAAGTATTGTGATTCTTCCAAGGACAGCAGTTTACAGGGATAGACAACAGAGTGTTTTGCATTTAGTGAGGGTGAGCAAGCTGTGCAGTGAACTGTAGGATAAGATTTATGGAGATGATAGATAGAGTCATGATTTCAATGCAGCAATTGTCCCAGAGAAAACGAATGAGTCAACAGAAAACAACCAAGAAAATTGCCAACCTAATGGTAGGGACAAGTCCAAAGATATCAATAATAATGTTGAATGATACCTTCCAGGATTTAAATGGAAAGATAAGACCATTGGACACTACAAATTGAACAGAAGAGAGATTAACTACATGAGACTGAATTAGAATTTTATGACTTCTGACTAAAACATTACTGATTTTTTGTTTTCTTGTGAGCTGTTGATAGGTTCAGCAATTTGTTAATTTTTTCTGTTTTTTAAATTGAAACATAAACATTTTTTCCTTTCTGACTGACCCCTCTGGAACTGGAAAATATTTGTGAACATTCTTATTTTGGGGCAGAAATATTATTTGCATAAGTTCAATAATATCTGTTGTCTTGCATCAGAAATGGGAAAGACTGGTTATTGCCAGTGCTTTGACTGGAATGTCCTATCTGAAGACATGACCAGAAAGCTAAGGAACTAAAGCAGATCTCAAGAAAGTCAATAGTCGCTCTTGGAAAGATTGCCTGATATCATAAACAGTACTTACCTTACAGCAGGTAAGTAAAGAATGTCACTTCCTGACAGGCCCAAGAAACTTCCAAGTACAGGTACTTAAAGACCCAGACAGATAATAAGTTCCTGACTTGGCTCAGTAGCCTTGGGAGGCTTTTTAAAGAGTCAAATCTGAAGTTTCTGTAATAGGTTCTATCAAAGCCAATTAAACCAATTAGTATTCTTATGGGGCTTTGTGCAAATAACAGACCAAACTGAAACTAAATTTATTATTATTATTATTATTATTATTATTATTATTGCAAATAAATTACTTTATGCCTCTGTTATGTTAAAGGGGAATGTGGAGAGAATAAAATGTTTTAGGAGAAAATCACAATGCACTTGTTACTAGATTTTAGCTTTGTCCATATCTGTTTTCTGAGTTTTTGGTATCTACCTACTTTTTGAACAGAATCTTAACCTTTTACTTGATTTTAAGTCTTATTAAATTTTTCTTAACATTTTTTATTCTGATTTATTAAAGCTAAGGTTGTTTTTCTTGAAGTTAAAAAATAAATGCATAACAAACAAACAAACATAAATAAAAAAACACAACTACTTAATAACGGCAATAAGCTATATAGCCTCAGCCAGGTGCTATGTTGTAGTATGTTTATTGTACTCGCTGAGGTTTATGCCTAAGTCAGACATGTGTTCATAGATATGTTTATATCCACTGCATGTACTTTTGAAAGTATTTAGTTTAATTACGATTTTTTTGTGAATTAATAAAATGTGAAAAAAAACATGGAAAGCAACTGCAGACATCAATGACAGTGTGGAGGGAAGGTGAGATATGGCAGAGGGTGAGAGGGAGGGAATCAAGGGGGAAAAAGTAGAATATATCAGAAACAAGAAATGTAAACTTATTTGTTGAAGATAACATACATGGTAATATCATTGATTGAGCCAATTTATAGTATAATAGGTTCTGGATGGGAAAACTCATTTTGTATGCTGCAATGATACTCAGTGAATGAATGTAAAATAAGTACATTTTAAAAGTTTAAAAAAAGGAATGAGCCATGAGCTAAATAATCAAAGAGACAGAAATAATGCCAATTGAATGTGATCCAGAGGACTCATGCGATGAGCCGTCTCCAATGTGAATGTATTGGCTTCTGACAGAAAGCTACTTCTAGTTTGTCTTTTCTGAAAGGAAAATAATCAAGGTCTGGCTATCCCTTATAGTAGAGTTTCTTCGGATTCTTGTCACCCATTGTATTGTATATACACTTTCTAGAGCTCAGAGCTCTGCTTCCACAGATGCTGGATCAGAGTGGTGGGTGGGTTTTATTGTTGGGTTT